CGCGGCGCCGCCGCGGGAAAGGTGGCGCGGACGGCGGGCGGCGGGGCGGGGCGCGACAAAGGTCTCCCAGCCCTCGGCCGGGGCTTGGGCTACTTGGACCCCCCGAGAAAGTCTGCATTTCCGGGCCCCTTCCTCTTGAGCCTCCACTGGAGTAATTTGCTATGGTGACAACCATAATAGTCACAGTCACCCTTTATTTATTTACTGATTTCTTTCTGCCGCCTCGATTATTCTTCACACCAGCCCCCTGGGAGATAGGATGGTTCCCTTTCTGCACGTGGGAAACTCAAACTCTGGGCGGTGATGAGCCGGCCAAGGGCGCATGGGCAGAGCCGGGATTCGAACCCAGGGCTCGGCGACTCCACTGCGCCTGCGCCTGCGCCTGCACGTGGACATTCGCCTCAAGTGTGCGCCGCCCAGGCCCGGCACCCCATGCTTCTTGAGTTTCTGGAGCTGTCCTCGCGTCTGACCGGGCAGGGGAACCACGTTTCCGCACCTGTGGCTGGAAGCCTTTCTTCTCCGGGGTTTTGTGTTCAGGAAGGAGCCCGGGCTCCCTGCGCTGGGTGTACCTGGATTGTATTTTTCATTCAGGTGGGCTGTGACCCTGGCGCTGGTCCACGTCCTCCTGAATGGTTTTCTTGTAGCACCTGGGCTCCCTTACTCTCCTCTCTGCCAGGATGAATACATCAGCTTGCACTCTCTGGGGGCGGAAATGTAGTTTACAGATGTTAGTTAAGGTCATGGTCGTGAAAGCTTCTCAGTTTTCATCTCTCTCTGACCTGCATATGTTTAAAAATGTGTATTTTGGGGGCTGGCCCAGTGGCGCAAGCGGTTAACTGCACGCTCTCCACTGCCGAGGCCCGGAGTTAGCTGGCCCGGATCCCGGGGGCGCACCGACACACTGCTTGTCAAGCCATGCTGTGGTGGCATCCCATATAAAGTGGAGGAAGATGGGCACAGATGTTAGCTCAGGGCCAGTCTTCCTCAGCAAAAAGAGGACGACTGGCCGATGTTAGCTCAGGGCTGATCTTCCTCACAGAAAAAGGAAAAAAAATGTGTATTTTGACCCGTTATAAAGGTAGTTTACATTGCTTTGAATGTCCCTGAATGACCTATAATTAATGCACGGGTTAAGTTGTAAGTATTCAAAGCATTTGGGTTTATTTCTGTTAATCCTTAATGGAGTTGTAAGTAAACAGGGTTACTTGACAACCTCCTTTTGAAGTAACAGTCCTTTCATTAAGGTATAATTTTATATCTGTAGAGTGGTTTGGAAAGAAAATCTCTCCTCTGAAAGCTGAAGGATTCAGGAAAGCTTTTTAAATAAAAAGTATCCAGTCTGTGAGTTCTGTAGACTCATGTGCTATGGAAAAAAAGAGCAAGGACCCTTCATTAAAAGACAAAAAAAAAAAAAAAAAAAAAGATTCAGGATGTTCTGGGCAGCCCTTGAAACCTCCCTTTTCCTTGTGAACTTGGCTTCTCTGCATGGATTTATGGCTGGCAACTGTGACCATTTCGCTAAAGAATTGAGATTTTGAGTTCTTTGCTTCAGGTTTGGTTGGTGAAAATATTGCCACTCAAACATCTATTGTTAGAATTATTCAGAAAACCCAGGTAACTTAGCAGAAACTCTTCCTTTCTTAGATTAATGTATTTTTTCCCTTTTATGAATGTATGGGATTTCTGAAGCCTGCTGAATTGTAAGTCACCTGGAGTGAAGTTAGAACCTAGAACCATAAAAGGGAAGAGCTAGGAATCCTTATTTTTTAACAAGTGTCTCAGATGAGTCTATCATCAAGAAAGTGTGGGCACCTTGTACCAGGTGATCGCCTTACCAAAGTAAAGATGGCCTAGACCCTTTTTTCTTGTTTAAATGAAAGGATGTGAAGTTCACCTGTATTCTTATCTATATAGCATCTTATCATTTGCCTCTGTGTAGGGAGAGCCTTAGATTGGTCCTGATTTTGCAGATAACTTGCTTCCCCACTAGCAAGATTTCCAAAGGATTCAACAGAAATCCAGTTCACCGGACTCTGATTATACAGGAAATCTACGACAGGGAACAAAGCAACAGGTTTATGGCTTTTCTGCTTCGTCTCTGGTTCAATGTCATGGGAAATGCTGTAATCTGGGCCTCTGTATCTGAAGTTTTGATAGTTGAGCAGAGTAGTTATTTGCCTGGTCTGTTCAAAGCTAGGGTGCCCATGGCTATGTAAGAAATATTTGTTCATGGTGTTGATAATGAGCTTAAAACCAGCTCGGTCATAAGTGGGAAGACCAGTTCCTCATATGCAATGTAGGTTCGTACTGAAGGATTAAAAACTACTAACTCACTTAGCAAGTTTAGAGCAGGTTTTGTTTGATCAAGAAGCAGCTCGATTTTATTACAGGCCACGACCATTTCTTCTCTTTTTTCCTAAGTTCTTGACTTTTGCTTTGTTTATTCTGATTTTTCTGGTAGTGAGGAGGGAGGGCGAGGGTGGTCTGGAATATATGATTCGTAGCAATAAATAATCTGTTCTTTTCTTCCACTCTGACCACTGGCTGGTATAGTGAACTGCAGGGCATGTCTATGAAGCAGAAACATCCAGGTTTTTTTCATGAACGATTATACTTGAACAGCCCCCCTAGGCCGCAGTACCCTGGGCTGTGTCTGGCACATAGTAGGTACTCTGGAGATGTACAGGCTTTTAAAACATTTTTTTTTTTTTGGTTTGTTAATTGCTAAAAACTAGTCAAGAGGCATTTTCTTATAAGAAAGTTCTCAACGGAAAGCTTACCCCGTATTGTCTCCAAGGTTCATGCCACCTCTAAAAGTAATTCCTGATTCTGGCTTCATAAGATGTCGGTTCCGAAGCACTGGGAAGCCACTGTTGAGTGTCTAAACACAGCTCCTGAAGATGGGAGCACAGACCTGGTTCTTTTCTGTGGGAGACCCTGCAAGTACGCTGGCCGTTATCTCCTCTGCTCCTGTTAGCATGACTCATCTGTGTATTATGGTTCTTTGGAAGGGCGTTTGTAGAGGAACTTCCACTTATCATGGTTATACATCTTATTTAATAAAAGGATGCTAAACCCTTGGATGTTTCCAGGGAAGGAGTACTAAAACGATTTTGTGTCTTTATGATATCCTACTGTCTCCACCCAGCTCCAGTTCAATCATCATCCCATCCTCCTCCTCAGAAAGGTGGTTGGTAGCCGTAAAATTAAGCCCACTGAAGAGCATGACCCATGAATGTGTACCGAGCGAGTTGCAGGAGCTTTTATTTTTTCAAATTTTTCT